GATTACCGCGATTTCAATGATTATCCAAATCTAGAGAAATGGTTCAATCAATTGAAGACAGAATTACCATATTTTGATGAAATCAACGAAAATGTTGGCCACGATTTCAAACAAGTGGCTCAACAAAAGGGTGTTTCAATATAAATATTAACAGGCATTGAATTTTTCAAACATTTGTGAATTCATTTAGTAATTAGAGATTTTTCCAACATTTTTAAATGCTATAATACCTTAATCATAATAGATTATGCCTATTTTCATCGGGAGCTCAATTTTTAGTGATAATTCAAAATATTAGATAATATTTTTATGATAAATATTAGATAACATATTTTCAGTTTAAATAAATGAAAAAATATTGTTTTTAAAATAATAAGTAATATTATTTTGTAATTCATATGAGTCAGATTATTGACGCAAACAAAATAATGCATAATAATATTATGATGGTAGCGTAATTATACAATTTATAATAAATATTTTTAATCCAACTTATAATAAACCCCATTTATTTCACAACCTGGAATGTTATTTATTGCATAAATGCTACTAAAAATAATATTATTTCACAAAATGCATATTATTAACACAAAGAGCAATGTAAAATGAATTAATAGTAACATAATATACACTAACAATATTTTATTTTAAATAAACTTATTTAACAAAACTATTAACACTTTTATTACAAATATTGAATATTTTACATAATTCTTTTACACACAGTAATATGAAAACCAAAGATACAAAAAGCTATATTTAACTTAAGTTAATGAAAATGTTGTTAAAATTAAATATTAAAATCATATTAAATAAACATGCTAAATATAAATAAGCAATACTTTTGCAATTCTGTGAATTTTTAATATTAAATAACAATTAAATTTGTAAACATATTTACAATCCAAAGGTTTTAAACAAAAAAAAATTCTCTAAACAACGTAAACATTTATAAAGAAATCACATCATTATTACAAAACAGTTAAAAATAGTAAAATATTTTTTAATGATTTATAAATAAAATAAATGATCATAATAGAAATTAATAAACTTATATAATATTGCATAATACATGTGTATAGTAAATAAAATAATAAATTAAATTCTATTACAATTTAGTTATTAATTAATTTAATAAAATATCCACTAAAAATAATTATCCAAAACAAACATTTAACTAATAGTTATCTTCTAAGAGAAAATCGGTGACAACTCTATTGAATTCATCGCTACATTCCTGATGTATATTATGTGAGCCGCGAGTGAACCGATATAATTGGGAATCATATATCTTATCGGTTAGAAATAGCGGGTGTTCTTCGGGTAATGGATCTAAATCACCATGCAGCACTTTTACATTGATTATATTAATCATATGAATAGAAAATTGTTTATAAATGTAAGAACATGTAAGCGTATAATAATTGTTACCTAGTGTTGGACACCGAATCTTGTGGACCTCATTCCTGCAGATATCGTCCAAATTGTTCATATAATGGTTTACGTGTCGATTCCACAGCACCTGTAGTTCATTGCCATAAACCGACTCAAAGAACATAAGTGTTTGTCGTTTCCATTTGGATATGTTTCTGATGGCATGGATCGCGTATTTCTCTTGTGGTAAGACATATGCATTTCCGCCCCAAACCACTAGTTTCTCAATATTTGATTGATATTTGATTGCCATTAGAAGACCAGTCTTTGCGCCGTCACTCCAACCCAACACTGAATACAATTTAAACCCCAATTTCTGTTAACATATATAAAAATTTTATAAATGTTATTAAATATATTCAACAAAATTGTTATTTAATTGATGCAAACATTCATTAGGGTTGCGGCCAAATAGGCGTCTCGTTTATAGACATCTTTGCTGTACTCTCGGACTGGAGGTCTACTAAAGCCATAGCCCGGCGGATCCCAAGCGATCATGGTGAATTTGTGCCCATTAAAACCTTTGTCTTGGGATAGCTGTATACTAAAGTCTGATCGAGTGGTTCCTTCAGTTAGAAAGTAATATCAAAAGTTATTACTATATTACTTATAATTTGAACATAACATCGCTTACCGATACCGCCGGGCAGTAAAAGTATAACATTAGGTCCAGAGCCGACTTTTTCGTAATGAATTTTATATCCGTCCACATCTATCAACTGTCCGGCCATCGACTGTTTTGACATATTTATGTTTGTCACAGCGTTTTGTCAGTTGATATGTTAAAAATCTGCAACCAAGATGCTTTTTGTGGATACAATACTTATATTTGCAATTATATTTAGTTGATGTGAAAGTTTGTTAATGTGAACAATAATTCCAAACCCCAATTCATTCTTATATACTGTTGTGAATATGATTAAGAAATTTGAAACAAAAAACCACTATTGTTTTCCAAAGTTAAATATAGTTTACAAATATTTAAATTTTTTTTACAATTCTCATGAATTAACTCTTTATTTTACATTAAATACTCTATATTTATAAGTAAACAATTAAACTGTTTTTAAAAATATTATGAATATATTGAAATCTAAATTTGGAGTTTTAATCAACATGTTGACATGTTTCCACAATACAAAAATAAAATATAATAAAGTTATATTATATAACTATTAAATTAATAGTAATAATAACAATAATAATAGTGTTTTACCATATACAGTATGTCTTGATTTATATGTTTACGTAAATAACAAATTTACTTAATGGATGATGAAAATACTCTTAATTGTAATAAATATTTACAAGCAAGAAAATAAGATATTGGATAATACAATATTTAAAAGCTTATAGTAAATTTATTTTACAAATTTTAAGATGGTAACATATTTTACTATTAATAATTATTTCAACATTAGTTAGCCAAACATAAAACCAAGTGATTTAGTGAATCTGTTGGCCTGTCTTTGCCATAGCTTTAACATATCGATGGACTGTTTGATGACAGGAAGGCCTCCCGACTCCATCATAGACTTGATCTGATTGTTCGCGTCGTAAACCATGTCCTGAATGTGACTCAGATTCTCACCGATCAGACCAAACATCCCCTGGTCTTCGTCTTTAACGTACATAACGTTATCAATACTCGACTCGTTTTCGCTTTGCTTCTCCTTTAGGATCATTGAAAGTGATTTCCCGTAAACACTATTCACACACATTATTAGCCCTATTATTGCGATTATTGATAAACTTTTCATTTTTACTTAACATTTAATTTCTAATATTTTTTTCAAAAACACAAATAAATTTATTTATTAAATATTTTAAAAATAAAATTCACTATAATGTGGAACATGTTTGTTCTTATTTAAATAAATATCGTATATTAATTTACTGATTAAAAAATTATATGGGTTTAGAATTGATTAAAAAAGAATTAATTTTACGACATACCAATTTATATAAACAGCAGTTTTAATATCGACAATAGTTTTGTTGTAATTTTATCAAATATTTTTAAAACAAAAAATTTTAAAAGTAAAACATTTTTAGCAAAACACAATTTGCAATTTATTTAACAATGTTCTCTAAGGCTTGGAGTCTAAGCAACCGTATGCTCTTTAGTGGCCTCAATGATCCAATCGATATAATTTGAAACTCTGGTGTAAACTCCCGGCATATCCTTTACAGCGCAGGGATAGCCAAACGATACAATGCCTACGAGTTGTATGCGGTTGTCCTTCGGATTCAATTGGACAAGTGGTCCACCGGAGTCACCCTTTAATGCAAACACATTTACATTAATCATACAATTAAATCAATTAAATGAGATTCAAAATGGATGGCACCACACATACCATACACGAGTCCTGACCCCCTTTACCGCCGGCGCATATTTTAAATTCATTAATTTTGACAAATTTCCTATAATTAACGCCACATTGACCATGGTTATAGATGGGAACATCCAGTTTCTGCAGGTACTCCGCCTGAGCAGCGGTGGCACCGGTTTGGCCGAAGCCGGACAGTGTGGCCGTTCCCACGACGTCGAGGCCCTTCTCCGGCAGACAAACGCTGTTTATTTCGTACTGTTTTTTCTCATTCGTTTTGAACTCAATCTTTTCCTTCAGTTTAATGACCGCAATATCGTTGGCCTGTGTTTTGCGATTCCAATCCTCGTGTAGTTTAATCTTATCGACCGAATAGTTCGGTGTTTTCGGATCTTTCATCAAATTTGAGCCCATCTTCACTATTAGGTGCTTCTCTTTGCCCCGCAATCTATAGGTTTCGTAATATAATAACAAATTATTTAATTTGAGAGACAGAGAGAGAGAGAG